CTCCAAAATTTACCAGAAACTCACACAACTTAACAAAAGGAAGATAAGCAATCTAGTAAAAAAAAAAAAATGGGAAAAGAACCTAAATAGATATTTATAGAAAGAGGACATACAGAAGGCCAATAGACATATGAAAACATGCTCAATGTCACTAATAATCTGAGAGATGCAAATCAAAACAACAATGAGGTACCATCTTATACCTGTCAGAAGGGCTATCATCAACAAATCAACAAACAAGTGCTGGGGAGAATGTGAATTGTCTTTTTATTATTGAATTTTAAGAGTTCTAAATCCTAGAGATACAAACCCCTTATTAGATAAAGAATTTTCAAATATTTCTCCCATTCAGTACCTCACCTTTTCATTTTACTGATGCTGTCTTTTAAAGCACAGTAGGTTTTTTTTTTTTTTTTTTTTTCCCCGAAACCTATTTGGCTCAGTGGTAGAGCGTCGGTCTGTAGACTGAAGGGTCCCAGGTTCGATTCCGGTAGGGGGCATGTACGTTGGTTGCGGACACATCCCCGGCAGAGGGTGTGCAAGAGGCAGCTGTTTGATGTTTCTCTCTCATCTACGTTTCTATCGATAGCTCTCTATCTCTCTCCCTCTCTGTAAAAAATCAATAAAATATTAAAAAAATAAAGCACAGTAGTTTTTTATTTTGATGAAGTTCAGTTAATCTATTTTTGACTTTTTATTTTCATATCTAAAAAATACTCAAATTCAGTTATGTAGATATACACATATGATTTCCTTTAAGAGTTTGCTAGTTACAACTTTTACACTTTTAGTTAATTTTGACATATGGTATGAGGTACAGGTTTCATTTTATTCATTTGCATGTGGATATCCAATTGTCTCAGTACAAATTGTTAAAAAAAAAAAAAGACTATTAATAACTGATTTGTTTGGCCCTCTTGACAAAAAGCACTTAGCCATAAAGGTGAGGGTTAATGCTGGAATTCTCCCTTCTACTTCATTGATGGGTAAGTCTGTCCTTATGCCAGTACCAATCACATTTTATGAGCACTCTTTCCCAGTCTTCTTGCATATTAACATTTGTTTTGTGTAATAGTAAAAAAGGCAGTGTAGTGGATTGTTTTTTATTTTGGAGATGTTTTGTATCTTGATAAAGCCTGAGGTCAGCTTATGTTTTGCCGACACTGTAACATGATGGGATAACACCTATTCCTTATATTCTCCATTCAAACCTTTCATCTCTAACCCAGTGCCTCCCACTTCACTTCCATTCCATGAAATCCGGTAATAGGATCTGCTGAGTTTGACATTTTCTTCATTGTGTTTTTTCATACTTCATAGACTCACTGCCTGGACAGGAGAAGATTAAAATCTGGACTGTCACCATTCCCCTTTAGAAATGTCTCAGTTTGAGCCCTAGCTGATTTGGCTTGGTGGATAGAGCAGGGTTGGATCCTCATCAAGGACACATACCTGGGTTTTGCACTTCTCCCTGGCCATTGATGTTTCTTTTTCTCTCTCTTCCACTCTCTCTGAAACAAATCAATGGAAAACTATCCTTGGGCAAGGATTAAAAAATATTAAAAGAAGAAATAAATGCCTCCATATGAAATCTCAAAATTTTAAAGCCAATTTGTTTTTTATGGAAAATGTTGTGTTATAAAATACAAGCAAGATTGAAGTAAGCCAGAGGAGAACTGGTATTTTAATGTTGCCTAAGGACACTACGCTGCAATGGTTTTTCCACTGAGATTTTAAATTAGTTCACAGTATTCTCTGTTTTTTCACCGATGAAAGGAAAATGTATTCCTCACCATGGAATGCTTCTCTGTGGACCTTGCCTGTGCCTCTGAGTTTTTGCTCTATCCTCTGCGTAAGAAATGACCTCTGCTTGCAGCTCTGGTATCAGCCTGCTTCCTCCCTGTGGACCATCTAAGACCCTCAGGCCTCTTTTTACTGTGTACTGTCATGGCCTCTATTCAGGAGCTAGGAGGCAGGGTTTTTGCTACTACAATTCTCTGAAAAGCTTTGAGTTTCCTGTGAATTTTATTGGGGTTCATGGCATTAGAAAAGCTACCTTATAAATTGGTTTCAGATAAGTTCTTCACCTGGTGCTTCCTGGGAGTGTTGTAGGGCAATGCCTTTAAAATGCTTGCTTACATTCTGAAAATCTTTAATACAATTTGAGGCACCGTGTAAATGTTTCTGAGGTCTTAAGTACTTTTATATGTCGTGGCTTCATCCTTAGACCATGTTTTCCTGGAATACCCTGGAATTGATGTTAGCCCAGAAGCCATTTCTTTGTTTTCGCATTATATGACAAATGGACATGTGAGAGAAACTGTAAATGGGAAATGGATATTTGAAACTCACAAATTCAGGTTCTTTCATATTTAACTAAAGACTCAGTGCACGAAATTCATGCATGTAGGGAGACCCCCTCAGCCCAGCCTACAATCTCTCCAATCGGGACCCCTCGGGGATGTCCAACACCAATCCTGGGGATTGGGCATAAACTGGCAGTCAGATACCCCTCTCATAATCCTGGAACACTGGCTCCTAATCGCACACATGCCTTCATTCCCGATTGCCCCCAACTACCCCTTCACCTGGCCTGGTTGCTCCAATTACCCACCTTTGTCAGCCTGGTTAACCCCAATTGTCCCTCATAATGGACTGGTTAACCCCAACTGTCCCCCAACCAGCCTCACCCTACTCAGTCTGCCTGTTCAGTCGTTTGGTGATCTCTCACTAACTTCGCTGCCTGCCTGGTTATACGTAGTCACCTTGTGAGGGCATACGGGTTAATTTGCCTATTACCTGTTTATTATATAGGGTTGTCTTTCTTTAGCCAATTTTTCTTATTAATTTCAATTTCAGCTGCTTCCTAGCAAGAATCCCTGTCATGCTCCTTTAAGTGTCACTTTATTCATTTCCCAGGATCCTTTGCTCTCAGCCTCCAAGAAACGAAGCCTCCGCTCATCGTTTCTTGGGGTCCTCTTGGTGTTCATTTCCATGCTGCACTACATTATGTCTGGTTCCACCTACCTCCTGTTCAAAGGCACTCCAATGAGGGGGTGTGTTTCCTTTTTAATGTCATCACTCTATTTTTCTATCAGTATCTGTGCCAGTTATTTATTGCTGTTTAATAAACCATTTCCACACCGCCTACCTTAAAATAGCATTTACTTAGTTCACAAATCTGCAGTAAGGCTTCCTCATTTCTTTTCTTCTTGCCACCAGTTGGGATGACTTGAAGCTGGGAATTGGAATCATCTTGATGCTTGTTCACTCTCCGGTTAGTCAGTTGCAGAAAGCTTTGGCTGGGAGGTTCACTGGGGCAGTCTCAGCTGGACACCTGTATGAGGACTGACCATGTGGCCTGGGCAGCTTCTTTCTTCCCAACATGGTGCTCTCAGGGTGAGCTCCCCTAGGGAGAGAGTTAGATGGCACCCAGACATACCAGACACACAGCAGTCACCATATCCTATTCACCAGAACCCAGTTAGCACTGAGGCCAGCATCTATTTCATGGAGGAAACAATCTGGAGACCTGCTTCAAAAACTCACATCCCTTGTCTTACCAAACAATCATTGTATCTGAAAAGGAGTAGTTCTTGCCAAGTCATTATCACTGACATTCCAGCAAGTTTGCTGTTAATGATGATGTTGTTGTTTTTGTTAGCATGCTCCTTTATATTGTAGGATGTAACAAAGAATTTCAAGATAGCACTATTGAATCAAACCCCCGCCCCCGTTTTGTTGATTCCGAAAACTGTAAGGCTCACCTTGCTAAAGTTTTACAGAAAGAGATGCAGTTTCTCAGTAAACTATGGAATCATTTCATCTTGGAATGCAATTCAAATTAGCATAAAAAGTTTATACTTCAGTAAAACATTTTTATGACATTAGAATGCAAATATAAAAAATTCATTAATTATTCCCATTTTGAAAGGGCTATTTAAGAAAGCATTTGGTGACTCAATCCTGAATACCTCAATATGATATCTCTAAGACTTTTTTAAAATTATGAAGAGTTAAAATGGGAGAAGAGGAATGGGACTTTCTATTAAGAGGCAACGTATAGTCACTTTGTGAAGGAGAGTCATGAAAAAATCATAGAAAAAAAAGGATCTAAAATCAACTGCAGGTATTGCGTGGCAAAGACAAGAACAGTAAATATATTTTTGGGATTCCTGGTAATTTTAACTTTGGTATTGATTCTAAGTAACTCATGGTTTCACATTTTAAGACTCTACCACAGTGCAGATAATATTTTATTGCAATTGAATTTGTTTCAAAATTTCATGCTGTTAAACTATAAGAAATTTAAGTTTAAAAAAATCTCACCAGGAGTCCACACCTTCATAACCAAACTATATTCTTTTATTCATGCAGGCTGATGAGCTTGTAGCAGAAGCAAAATGCATACATTGTCCTGAAGAAGATACAGCTCAGCAGGAGCTAGAATTCCAAATACTTAACAAGAAATGTGATGAAATGATGCCTAGAGGAAAGTGGTGGAAACAAGAAGCAATAAGAGTCAGAAGACAAATGGAAATGAGGAGGGCAAGACACCAGGAAGAAGAACGGCGTCTAGACAGGCTTGGAGAATGTGAAAATCCTTATCTAGCATACAGATTAGAACAAGTCAGGCAAACTTTCCAGGTTAATTTATTGAGCTTTAATTTGTTTTATTTCATTTTACTTCAAATTACACTTAGGATACAGGCAACGTATGTGTTTCCCCTTCTTCCCTTACTAGCAGCTTGTTCTGTAGAACTCAGGAAGGAAGATGGCATGTTTCTTTTTTCAGTATTTTATTTTCCATCATTACCATCACTGAGTTGATCTTACATAATTATTCTTACTAGAGGATCATTTTATTTTTAAGATGAGTTGATGAAAGACAAGACTACTAGAAAAAATATAAAAGTCAGGATTAAACCTTATACAATTATTAAATTATATTGTCCAATTTTAAAAACTTAAATTGACTTTATTATTCTTTGAGTTATCAGAATGTGTGAGTACTAATATAAGAAAAATTTTTTGCTAAGCAAAATAAGTCAGAGCAAGACAAATACCATAGAACCTCCTTAATAATGTGTGCAATCTAAGGAACAAGATAAATGGATGAACAAAATAGAACCAGAAACATGCATACATGAAACAGACTGTCAAATGTCAGAGTGGAGGAGGGGGAGCAATGGAGAAAGGAAGGCGGAGAGATTAGCTAAAGAGCACCTGGGCATGCACACAGACTACAGTGTGGTGATGGGCAAGGTGGGGGAGGCCTGGTGGCCCAGCGGAAGGGGGTCTTGTATGTACAGCCCTCCCAGAAGGCAGGGAGAATTACCTAAGAAGCCATCTATATCACTGACAGCCTCCCCACTTTGGATTACTCCTTAGTTAGGAATCCCCAATCCCAACTTCTTAGAAACATCAGTACTTTTTAAGAATAATTTAGAACCTATACCTGAATATAGTAAATCTGCTTTGATACATTTTCATTACTAAAATGCCATGTAATGGGAAATTCCCTTTACTACTATAGCTACTTAATGAATGCAAGTCTCTTAGGGGAAAATAAAATACTAAGCATTTGTTGTTTACAATCTTCACAGTTCCAAGAAGCAGCTAAGAGGAATCAGCACCAAACTTCTCCTTGTTTCAGAAACAACAAGACAGACCACTAAGCATCCTAATAAGAGGCCCTCCCTGGGAACAGCTTGTGTTGAAAATCCTAAGCAGTTTTGTATATAATAGAATCGTTGCTGATTCCCACTTTGAGAATCTTTTATGAATACAATAAACTTATACTACTAAAAGGATCAATTTCTCATTTTAAGTGAAAAGTTTTGTTTTATGTGAGAGAACATTCTTAAATGCTACTTTACTTACTGCTTTTTATTTCAGTTTTTATAAAATGTCTTGCTGGGCAGTTGTACATTTTCTAAAAAGTTAAACTAAAGAAATATTTGAATTTATAATTTACTAGAGGCCCTTTGCATGAAATTCATGCATGCATGGGTAGGATCCCTAGGCTTGGCTGGCAATCAGGGCTATGGGCTGCCAGGTTCAGGCTTGGGCCTCCCTTTTCCAGCTACCAGCTGCTGGCCAGGGCCTTTCTTTGTTCTATGCCTTCCCCTGGTGGTTAGCCCCCATCATAGCTAGTGATTAAACTCCTGGCTTCCAGTGGAACTCCCCAGGGGATACTTTGCATATTAGCCTTTTTTATAAATAGATTGTTTTATATTGCATTTTAAATTGAAGTTCCCTTATATCTGCATATCTTGCCAGCCCTTGAATGACTGATGACCAAGATGGCATCAGTCATCTTGTGATAGGCAGTCTTGATATTGCCTTTAGTTTTATTTGTGATTCACCATCAAAACTCTAAGCCAACATGCACTGATTAGAAATAGGTATTTTAGTGAGTGATAGCATCATGTCCAAGAAATAGACCCTTTTGTTTTCTCCCTGAAATCTACAATTTGTGGATATCCAACAGAGGTTCCTGTCTTCCACACACTGAAGGTCCGTGCACCAGTAATTTGGAAGGTGGTCTTATGTATAGGAAAGAAAGGGGGAGATGGAGAAGGGGAAGATCAGGAACAGACCCATCACTGCAGCAAGGCTGAACCTACAGCCCCAGCAAACATAGTAGTGACTGAGGAGTCAGGGTACAGCCCTCATAACAAGACCATGGGTAGGAGGTAAAAGCTCAGAAACATTTTGAACACAGTCCCACCCCATCCCCAAAATGCAGGTTCCTCCCCAGTTTCACCACCACAGACCAGTAGCAGGAACAGAACCAAGTCTCCAGGCCCCAAGCAACAGCACAGTGCAAACTAAGTCTTTTCTTTGAAGTGGGGGGTAGTCTTATACAGCGAATATAGGCCTAAACCTGTTTTAACTGTAAAAATTAGGCGGTTGTCTTATACGCAGGAAAATACAGGTAAGCTATGATTCTGGGGAGTAAAATACTAAAACCGCCTTAAAGTCGAATTTGCTTTTCTATCCCCTTTATTTGCAAGATTTTAACATTTTGGACTCTTCCTACCTTGTTTGTTCATCTTTAAGGGCAATAATTATAATAAAGTATGGCTCTAATCAGTGCTTTCAGTTTTCTCCACTTTCAGGAAATTTAGATGTGTTGCTTCTCTCACCATAACATGAAGGTTAGTCTTGCCCACTTGATTCCATTGAGCAGCATAGAGAGCTGCATATCTGCTTTGTAATTTTTACCTTTAGTGTTCACATTGTTGGTGTTTCTTCTATATATCAGAATAGTTTCAGTTCTATTTAATTGTGTTATTTAATGATATTATAAAATACAGAAGTTAAAATTAGCTTGAACAGTTATATAACTTGTTAGATTTCCTTGGTTGTTTTTTTTAATCCTCACCTAAGGATATTTTCTTTTAATTGTTTTTTAAAGAGAGAGGAAGAGAGAGAGAAACCTGAATTGGTTGCCTCCAGACAGTTGATGAACTTCACAACTTGAGTATGTGCCCTGCAAGGAATCACAGCTGCAGCCTTTTGATGCACTGGATGATGCTCTAACCCACTGGCTGGAAAAGTGCAGTTTGAGAGCTTCAGAATGCGGTTCTTTGGCCCCTTGAGTTTTTAGCAAAGGCCAGCTTAGGAGTATGCTAATTAAGTTGATAACAATGTACCTACCTATATAGTTTAAGTTTTTAAAATTTGGCTCTCAAAAGAAATTTCAATTGTTGTACTGTTGATATTTGGCTCTGTTGATTAACAAGTTTGCCTACCACCGCTCTGAACAATTGTGCCACCTGGCCTGTATTTGTTATGTTTTCTTGCACATTGAAGTTTTTACTAACAACTGAAAACATGAAAATTTACTCCAGGAATTTTATACCAGATGAAATTTCTCTGCTGTCAAACATTTTATGTTCAATTCTTTTTCAATTCCTGCACTGACAGTTCCTCAATCATTGTTCTTTAAATCTGCATTTAAATAGGGAGAGTCAATTTTACATTAATTGCTTTTGGACTTTTGGACCATTTCTGACACTTTCTCAAAATATTAAAATTCTAATGATTTATTGAATTATTTTTTCCATTTCATAAATATGTATTCAATAGTTTAGCAACTCTGTATATAAATACATGAAAGCTAAAGCAGTTCATATTCATAAGACTTTAACTTTGTACATGACACACAGAAGATTGTGTCTCAATAGTATGTTGAGCCAGATAGCTTCCTGACTAAATACAGCCCTCAACTTTACACCAACGCAGTGCATTTCTACTCTAAATTTTACCTCTGTTCAAGCTATCACAGTGGCTCTGCTAGTTTCTCATAAGGCAGAGATGAGTTTAATAAACCTGTTTATTTAAGTTACTCTATCTAATTGCTCGTGTCCGCACTCCCCTTTGCTCACTTACACAATTGTTCCTTAGTAATTTTGTCTTTTGAAGGATACAGATAATTATTCAACTTCTTTCTATTATTTTTGTCATTCATTTTCTCTCTGCTTAACTTATCAGCCCCTTGGTGAACAAATTTTTCCTCATTTTTTTTGCAGCAAAATACATGCTTTTAATATTTACAAATTGCCCAGTGTATTTTCCTCATACATTAACGTATTCAAAATTAGATAACAAATTGCAATGCTTGTAATGGCAAATGTACTTTATTTCATTTTATATTACATTTATTTCTATAACATTTAAAATAAGAATGCTATCATATTTTTAACCTAAAAATATCAAGAGTTACTGAAAATATATTAAATTTGAAAATGTATACGTGCATGCGTTTTGTACATGTGTTTATCAAATTGGTCTCAAAAAGGGAATGCAACATTATTTTCCAACCTGTAATTTCAGATATAATTTAATGGTAGCTTTTCAATAAGTTAGTGTTGAATGAATGAACATCTGTGTGTATTTGTTTTCCTTTTGATGGTAGTGGCTTCAGATTGATTCTTTCTAAAATATAATTTTTTCCTTGGTCAAAGTGACGACTGCCGCTGAGTCCCAGATTTCTGTGCTTATGGGTCTGCTGAGGCCACAGCTGGTGTGACCAATGTCAAGTGGCGCCCACGGCGAGGAGGACTCTGCTCACATCTATCTGAAGTCGCATCAAGGAGAGCACTTTAGACTCGAGTTCATCGCCTACCCCATCTCTGCATTAGGATCAAGCCCTTTCCCTGGGGAGATGGTAGCCATACTCTATTCATTCTCCTCATCTGAATCCCCTGCCAACTGGCAATGAAGATGAATAAAGAGAACCTGGACCACTACCCAGTGGGGACCACAGCACTGGTTTGGACCATGCTCTACACACACAGAACAGTGTATGGGACCTTAAGCTGACTTCTCTCCTACTGTAAAATGACTACAGAGTATACTGATCTTCCATCTCTTCTCTTATTGCAGGAGATTGCTTAAATAAACAACTTAGGTTGATCATGAAAAAAATGGATTAAAATAAATAAAATGTAACTTTTCTGCTGATTAGAGTGGGACTTGATTTGTTCAATGTACATTGTGTATAAATTCAAGGAAGAAGAAAACAGGCCTGTAAGTGTTGTATAGTCATCTTTCTTCTTGGAGCTGAGGTGAGGTAGGTGGCAAATGACAGCCCTCTTTCCATTATATTAGAACATAGGAGTCAGGCAGATGGAGATGAACGTACAAACTTGGTTACTAACACATCATAACAAACTGGAGGACCAGGTTGAGATATGTGACCACATTGGTCCTTCGAACACTTATCACTTCTGCTCACAGTTATAATCAGAGAAAACAAATTCTTTACACCTGCCTCTGCTGAGATGCTCATGGAAAGTAATTCACGTACCTGTGGGCAGACACATCTTTTCCAAGAAGAGGTTTAATGCCAGATAATTATTCTTTGTTACTTCTCTCAAATTCACTCATCAGCAACATCTCTTCTCTCAGGAGGTAGGTAGAGAGAATCTAAGTCCTCATGTGGAGACTGGAGGACAAAGAACTGAAGGTACCCCTATAATTTCTGATGGGGTTAAAT